GGGACAAAAATAAGGTGGCAAGATGCTCAAATAAAACTTTCTCTCCCTTCTTCCCTCCCTCCTCCCCCCTCATGTGTGCATGTATTTTCTTTCACCAAATTACTTTTCTAACTCTAACCCCATACCACCGGGAAGTTCCAAGGATTCAGGTTTCTCCTACTCCATGCTTGGTACCTAATGATATTTGTTTCCCTTCTTTGATTACAGAGTAGCCTACCTCCTAGCAGTTTGTTTCAATCAAGTCTCTGAATTCTAATATAACAAATCAAAAGCTGTTTTATTTCCACCCCTTGTCACCACATCACAATGGGACTGGCATAGCTTTTTGGTTTGTCTGTGCTTCTTTCCTGGAGCTCTTACAATCTATTCAAATTATATTTAGACTCATTCCCTAAAGCATTTTGTGATGCCATCTTCACGTCAGGAAAGATAATGTGATATAACCTGGACAGCCAAAGAGTCTAAGGTTAATTTCCAATTGTGGATGAAATGACCCAGTAGTACACTATTTCTCATCTCTTTTCTCCTCTCCAGAACACAGCTACCCCCTTGCTGAGGGCCTGGTCGTGAATACCACACCACAACTCTTAGAGAGAGCAGGAGTGCAAAATGTAGAAGAAGAAAGCAATGGGATGTGGGGAACAGACTTACATCACAAGACATCAGGTAGATGGCCAGGAGGTTGAAGACACCAGGAGCTGAGCTATAAAAAAAAAAACCAGCCCTAGTCAAATATAAGAATCTTTAAAGTCTCACTATTGACAAATGCACAGGGCCAATTAGGTGAGCCTAAGATATGAGCAGAAAACCTCCGCATGGTAGAAATGCACAAACAAACAGACCCAGCTATGGGCATATAGACACAGCTTGGTAGGAGTCAGTACAGCTAGTTATGGGCTCAGAGAGATGAAATTTTTCATTTGATGCAGGTTCACATTGAAGAATCCAAAGATTAAGTAGTGGTCACCATTTAGAAACGTCTCCTTGTGTGGTATAGCTCAATGCTCTGATCTAGGGAAGATGGAGAGGAGTCTCCATTCCTGGAAAGCTACTGAGACATGACCGCCACTGATAATGGTGATAATGACTAATACTGACAAATATGTGGCTGACAACATATATTTGAGTGAGAAGGACTTGCTGCAGCGGCAGCTATTAGGCATACAGTCTATCTCGGGGCCGTTAGTCTTAATCATAGAAATCCAGGGAAACATGAGTACCGAAGATAAAGGTTATGCTCTATGGGGTATGCGTGTGTGTGTGCATGCGTGTGTGAATATCACTTACATTGTTTCTAATGGTGGGAATATAAAAGCCAGAGTCTGACTGGCAATGTCCAGAAAAGAAGTCAAGAGAGTAATAGATGGACTCAGTATAACACTGAGTTCACCTAGATCTCAGGTCTAGGCTTGGAAGAGAACTGTTAACTTACAGGATAACAGTAAGTGTAAGGAAGAGCCGGCAGACAATCAGGACTGAGGTCCGACCAATTTCACATCATGATGTGTCTGGGATTAACAGGAGAATGGCACTTTCCAGTACTTTGGGTAGTAGTAGTTGGGGAAGAAGAAACCAGAGGAATAAATGTAGGATTGGCAATACTAGTGGAAGAGGTAGGCACGGAGAAAAGGCCACTGTGTAGCTTCAATGTCAGAGCTAGAAAAACTTCATTTCAGCTTTACATTCAGGTAACATCTTGGCAGGTATTCTAAGGGCCTGCGCAGTCAGACTTTATATAGAGAGTTCAGAGAAATTAACAGAAATTAAGTGTAAGTGCTTTGGATACGTAATATCCTCCAATGGCCCACATGTTAAAGGCTGTGTCCCCATTATGACACTGTGCAGGAAATGGTGGCTGCTTTATAAGTAGGGACTAATGGGAAGTCACCATGCCATTGAGGGTGTACTTTTGATGAGTAGATTATGACTTGAGCCTCTTCCTATTCTATCCTAGTTTGCTGCATGACTGAATTTAGTGATTCAACTCTCTGCCATGTGTTTACCCCTCAGGTTGTTTCACCCAAAGCAAAGGTCCAAACGACCGTGAACTGACAACTTGAAAACTGAGACAAAACAGTTGATTATCTCTGGTGTTTGTCACAGTGACAGACAGCGCACAGGAAGAGGCCATACTCAATGAGAAGCCTTCAAGTGCAAATACTGCTCAAGAACACATATATCCCTGATGGTCCATCGTGACTTTATCCGTCACAGGACAAGCACCTCTGAGCCTCTGAACAAAAAGATTGCACCCCACTCTGCCATATAAAACCTTGCAAGTCTCTGTACTTAGGAGAATTCTTCAAAAATCTCATCTGCATTTGTTCCCAATTATCCATAATTATCCATTATCCAAATGGAAGGGCACCGGGAACAAGCTTAGAGAACTCTTACAATCAAACTTGCCTCTATCTCCCCACTATTAGAATTTTCCATGTTGATTACTGACAATTCTCTCAGTAGGTAGGAAGAAGAACGGTCTGGATTTGAATCCTGAATTCACTAAATCCTGAGTGTGGGAACTTGGGTAAATGATGTAGCGTTCTGTGCCTCAGTTTTCTCCTTTATAAAATGGTATAGTGCCGAGGGAACCTCACAGGAATGCTATTAAGGCAAGTCAAAGAACTTAAAAACACATTTTCATTAAGTAAACAAGTGTCTGCCATTACAATCAAGTGATATGGCAATGGAAGTGCAATTACCATCACAGACCTTTAGGAAACTAAAAGGCAGAGATTAGGGAGGTAGCTATTTCATACTTTTTGCAAGCATCTATTATGTCCCCTAAAACAATTCCATACCCCAAACTGTGATTCATTACAAAATATTAAGATGTAATTAAGACTGATGTGGTTATTAAAATATGGAGAAAATTCTGATTTTAGTAGATCCAGTCATTGTTATGGGATGAACCCTAAACAGAAGAGGCAAAAAAAAAGCAAAAAAAAAAATTCAAGAAGAATTCAGGCAGTTGGCTTAAAAAAGGAGAGCGTTTTTGTTTTGTTACATTTTTGTCTTATTGAATTTTTTATTTTATGGTTTTTTTTGATAAATAGAGCATGCAATTGGGTGGGCAGGAAGACAGGGAGGATCTGGGAAATATCTAGGAAAGAGAAAGAATATGATCAAAGCATATTGTATGTCAAAAATTTTTAAGTAAAAAGGCTAAAAATAATTAAAGACTTCAGTCTTACAGAAGAAACTAAATTATGCTAACAACCTTGACTGAACTCAAAAGAGAACTGTGTATCTCAGATGAGAACCACTCAGAGAATTCAACTATTTTATAGGGAAACTTCTGACCAACAGGAACAGTGAGGTGACAATAAATGAAGTGCTAAATTTTTGATAAAAAAAATACTGGATGTATCTTTGTGCATGTTTTTACCTGTATGCATGTATGTATGTGCACAACATGTTTGCCGGTACCCTCAGACTAGAAGAGGAAGTCAAATCCCCTGGAACTGGACAGTTGGGAACCACCATGTGAGTGCTGAGAGCTGGACCCAGGTTCCCTGGAAGAGCAACAAGTGCTTGTACCCTGAGTCATCTCTCCAGCCCTAAACTTGTGATCAGTCATTAGAACAGCCATAAAGACTAACACAGTGCTGCTGTATTTCAAGTTGCCCAAATCTGTCAAATTGAGAAATACTTTGTCCCTTGAAGCAGCTGATGTGAGGACAAAATAACAGAAAGAACCTAAGACTGTTCTGCAAAATTTTAAGTCACAAACCTCTTCTATACTCCAACAGGAAAAATAATCAATCTGGTTTGAACCAGGAGAGCTAGTTAAAGGCTAGGTTTACAACCCAAAACCCAAGGGCTTAGAGCTCATGACATTTCTCAGGAGAAAAACTAAGGATCTGCAGGCCTGCCTCTTCTCCCAGAGAGAAACAGCACGGCGTAGGAGGATTTGAAAGACCGAAGGCCCACTCTGCCTCCTACGCTATGATACCCCTCTGAGCAGCAACAAAGTGGGAAACTCATTCCTGCTCTGAGGTGAGAGGGGTTGTGTGGGACTCAAAAGCAAGGCTTGTGGATGTATGATAAAAACAAAACACCCAGATGACAATGCAGCACACCTCCTCTGCGTGGGTGGCTTGCTGTTGGGAGCAGGTGTCTAGACTGTGGCAAACAGATCACCTAAGGAAAGTCCTGTATGCTGGGACTATAACGAGTGGGTATAGTTCCTATGCTTGGGTACAGCCTTAGGCAAGTCCTTTGAGACTTGAGTTTGTTTCTCCACCTGTAAGAAGTTACCTTGAAGCTAGTGGTTCTCAAATACTGGGCATTAGATTCACCTGGAGGGGTAAGCAGCAGATGATGTTTCTAAGTTTCTTCTCCCACTGCCAAAGCATCTGCCAAAGACCTGAGGCAAGGAATCTTGTTTTTACTAAGTCATGCAAAGCCTTAGCCACAATACGAGTTGATTCATCCAGTAGGTGGCCTGAAAGCAGTTGAATCTCGGAACTCTGCAGTCTTTGTTATACTTGAATTTGAAAATTAACTAATTTGCAGTCAATTAACGAGCTGTGCTCCTCCTGGTCTTTGCAAATTCTATTAACGCTGCTTTGTTATTAAAATTTCCTCCCAGTATTGCCTTTCTTCTGTGAAATGCTAAACCGGCTGAAGAGCCGCAGAGCTGCCCACTGTCTTTACATCACGACCTGAGTCTAAAAGTTGCAAAGACCCCTCTGAGAAAAGGCAGACGATGTGAATGGCGTGCTTGGCTTCTCAGAGAGGAAGTAGCAAAGCTGAGTCTCGACCACAGAGCTCCTGAAAAGTTCCTTCCAACTGCCACATGTTGTCTGTCTACTGCTTCCCTTGCACAGTCTGACAGCCGAGTAACTTTCAGTCTGCGTATTCCCTAGACTCGGCCTGCTATTCTTGGACACAGAGGAACTTCATTCACTTGTCAACACAATCACAGGCCACGTGCAAACCAATGAAAGAAGCAGAGCGGCATGGACTCTCAACAGATTACAGCAGACTCAGCCAAGTGTTTCTCAAAATTTTAATGTGCATAGAAATCTCTTGTGGGGTCTTGTTAAAATACAGATTCATATTCCAGATGTCTCAGGTAGATCCTAGCAATCTGCATTTCTAACGAGTCGCCAAAATTGATATTTTCATTAATCCTATTTCAAAACATCTCCAGTTATATTTGGGATTCATTTTCTTTTGAAGATTTATTTATTTATGAATTTTCTGCATATGGGTATTTTGCCTGTGTGTACTTCTGCAAACTATAAGGGGGCATTGGATCCCGTGATTATACTCATAGATGGTTGTGAGCTGCCATATGAGTGCTGGGAACTGAATTCAGGACCCCAGGAAGAGCAACCAGTACTCTTAACCGCTGAGCCATCTCTCTAGCCCAGACGTTTGTTTTCACTACTAATTTGGGGCACTGTGGTAAATAGAAAGCCATTTGCAGTTTCCAATCTTGGATTTTTATCAATTTCTAGAGTCTTTTTATGGATAAGTCATTTTCACCTCCCTGGGCCTCAAGTTTCCTTACCTACAAGACAGACTTGCTAGCTATCACTTATTGATGCTATGCAGCCCGAGAGAATGGCAAAGCTGAATAGATTAAGACTCTTGGGTTCAAAAACATTTTGTTCTGAGTTCTCTTTGAATTTTTTACAAGACAGCGTAAGTGGTAGATGGTGGGTGCACCATCATTCCTGACATGCTGAAAGATTATTTCCATCACGAGACTGCAGATGGAGGGCATTTATTCAAGAGAGAAATCTGCACTTAATTGAAAATACAGGAATGGGCTCAAGGATCTCATTCTTTTCTCTGATTTCACACCATAGTTCATATAGGCAATTTCATATGAAAATGAAGACTTTTCTTCATTGACAATTTCTTGTCAAGTTATCTTGCTTCACTCTGTATTTTCCGTTGCTGTTGTCGCTAAAGCGTTTGTAGGTAGGCGTCTAATGTGTCAAGGTCAACTGTCTGCCCCTTCATTAACAACAGCTTCACTGGTCTATGTTCTTTCAAAAGCAATTATTTCATGAGTTGCCGAACTACTTCCTTTACTTTTTGTAGTTCTTACAGAATAAAGTAATGTCTTGAAAAGGGGAAGATGCTTCCCTATTGTAGCCCATTACTTCCAAAGCACTCTTACATGACACTATTTTGTTTCTTATATTGAATGTTTAGTTTTGTCCTGTGTTGGCTGGATACTTCTTAATACCGCTCTTTCAACTTGAAATATAAAAATTCAATGAAATTTCTTTTTATTAAATGACCCCCTGATTTTTGCTTTCACCACGGAAAACCTTTGTAGCGAGGTGACCCCAGGGCATCAAATTCCACAAAGGCACAGAGAACTTCCGTTCTCTCAAAGTGCATGCATGGATATCACCAGTCTTCTTGATGAAACTGTACACGTGACAGGTAGGGATGTATTGGGAAAACACAGCCACACCTGGAAGGACCCTTTCTCTCCAGACAGTGACTAAGGTGACTAATTCACAGCTACTGATCGCAACAAATTCTTCACTTCACAAGGTGAGGTTCGATGATCTCTTAAAACATAATACCAATCGGATCAACTCAGAGTGAAAAGAAAACCCAAGTAGGGATTATCTTTCAGCCTATGGTCTACTCCCTTATGAGGCGGCCTTGCACTGCTCCCCTCCCTCACTGCTTTCCTTTTCATATTGGTTAGGCATATGGGAGTCAGGAGTCAACTCACCTCCAGCAATGTGTCCTCCGTTTAAATACCTACCTCTGAATGACATGGGGAAAATTGCAGAGGGTGCAAATTCTGAGAGGTCTGGATGGAAATCACACTTCTAGTAGACATCATGTCTGTGTACTAGAGCCGGCAACAACACAACTGGGTACCATCTTAGTCTGTACAAGAAGCTGAGTACTTGCATGATTGTTATTAGGATGATGTATAAGGTATTTGAAGTATCTGGTACTCAGTGGGTGCTTAATAAGTGTTAGCGCTTCTGTTGTCACTATCAGCTCACGACTTAACAGTTCTCTTGCCTACTTGCTAGGGTTGTTGCTAATTTCCCATAGTTACCCACGCGCATATGGCCTCTTCTGATCCCCTCTTCGGAGTGAGCATCTATGTAGCAAGCAGAGACCACGCCAATCTCACTTCACGACAGCAAGCTTCACCACAGCAATTTTGCTCTTTAAAGCAGATTGTCAAAGGGAGAAACTTTGTTTCATTCTCCAAAGGGAGTTGATGCAGAAGTAGAACGACCCCAGCAACTGCTCCCTGACCTCCAAAGCTGGTGACCCCTCCTTTCTCAGCTGAGTTTTCATTCATGTCCCACATAACACAGCAATCACAGTGCAAAGTTTCTAGAGACTACTTCTATTGGGTTTGCAATGTCTTTCTCTGCTTCTCAATAGTATTCTAAGACTTTTAGTGTTTACCACAGCATTTTGCCTGAGGAAAACTAGATTCAAACTGTCTTCCTAATCCTCCATGGATCCTGGCTCACTCCAGTGACCATGTTCTCCACATACAGTGGCCTTTCCCTCATTAACAGAGAGATTGCTGCTCTAAGATCAGAACTCAGTAAGAGCCCCGCAAGCCTCAGAGGCCGGGGCTCGGGCATCTGCACAGAAACAGAAGCACCAACACCCTAAAAACCAGGGCTCAAAAATGTCTATTCCTCAGATTTCCTACTCCCTGCGCCGCTTTCGCTTTAGTGCACTTTCAATGACTCCAGCAGTGCTGAAAGGACCAGCGGCTTATAGCTTGAATTTTCCACTTGCTGGCAAATATGAGAGGCTCAAGAAAGAGAGTAAAAGTCAATACCTCCCAAAAGAACCATTAAAGCCACCACCTACAAGGCCCCCTCCTAGATAAATGTGGTGTACTAAAAGGAACCTTATGTAGGAGCTCAGACACCTGGGATCTTGTCCTCTTGTGGTCGCTAACTTGCTCGTCATGTAAACTAAGCTGCTGTTAAATGCGTTTGAAAGTTCCTTCTAATCCAACCCTTTATGGGCTGTAAAGAGTCTTTTATCTCAAGGACTCTGGTTCTTAACCTTTATTGGGTTGCAGTCCCATTTGAAATCCAGTAGAATGTTATGAACCATCTGCTCAGAAAAGGCATTACCCTCGTGGAATTGTATATGTCATCTTGGGGGCATCGTGGAGTTCCAGATTCCACAGGCACTTGGCTAAGATTTGGTTTTGTTTGCTTATAAGATTTGCTTGTTTGCTTTTTTTTTTTCAAGAAATAAAAGAGCATGTAAGCTAGAGGCAAATAAGAAGCAACAGCAATAATTCCTCGGACTCAAGTCAATCTTAACAATTTTTCCTAACATTTGACCCTCCCAGCTTTGTTTTGTTTTGTTTTTTACAAAGACATTTTCTGTTTTGTTTTATTTGTTGATTGCTGGAAAGGAAGCTATTGGGTGAAAGTAGGAAAAAGGAAAATCCAGACAGCCTAGGCTTTGACATGCAAAACATGCTTAGCACTGCGAAGGGCTCTATGTGGGATCATCCATGCGGACTGGCCCCACTGGATATCATTAACATGTCATGGTACCAGGGTGCCAATCTGGTACTAGTTCGTGTCCATATCCTCAGAAAGAGACACGACACAATTCTCCAATATTCAACTAATGTCCCTAGTCCCTTCCAAATAAGGTAAACAATGGCCCCAACTCCAGAGGCCTTTAGATCAGGGTGAGGCCCCCAAGATCAGTCTTTAACCCTGAATCATTCAGAGTCCAGTGACCTTTGAGGAAACAACAAGTTCAGAGAAGAGTGGAAAGCTGGGCTCCCCTCTTCAGTACAGGTCAGTGGGGATTTTCACTTCGGTAGAGCTTGGAGCTTAAGAGAATTCAGGCATCCAGTGTCCTTGGAGCTGCTCACAACAGACATTCTGGGGAGATGAAGACAGAATACAAAGGAGAAACAAACACATGTCGAAGACGTGTGCTCCTTATTTTATAGCTTCCCAGACACTGAAGGTTCCAGGCCAGAAATGAGCTGCTCTTCAGCACCAAATAGCTCACATGGGTTTGAAGTAGACCCTTCCCCAACCTGGAAAGGGTCCCTCGAGGCCAAGTCCTTTCAAACCTAAAATGAAAAGAAAAAAAAATAGGCAGTTAGGTAAGCCTGGGTGAATATTTAACAGGTGTTAAAAAGTAGGGGGGGGGTCTCTCTAGTTTCTTACCCTGTAACTGGTACCTAGTCTGGTACTTTAGACCCCAAGCAACAGGTCAAGGCTGCTATAAATAGGACTAGAGACTGTCTTTGACCCCACCTCCAATCCCCTAAAACAATCTACCAACAGGGGAAGCAAAATCCTGATACTAAAACTTCTGAGCCTGCCGCCCTGTTCTCCTTCCTTGCATCTTAGTCATTGCTTTTACGCTCCATTCGGTATCTCCAAACTTCCTTTGCCCAGGCCTTCATTCTTAAGGCTGATAAGGCATAGCTTATCTATCTCTAGGCCATGGAGGACTGGCAGTGACAGGAAAACATAGAAGGCTAAGGAGCACATGGCAAGCCAAACTCCAGATACTTGGACCTCATTAACGTTCACATTGGTTCATGTCATGCCAGAGATCTGATAACCAAGCAATCAAAAAGTCCTACGCAGAGAAAGACATTTTCCTGACCCCCAAGCCTCCTGTGACCTTAGCAAGTCACTTATCCCCTCTGAACTTCAGTTCCTTTGTTTGTTGAGTTGGAACACATAGTATCCTCCTTCTTTCTGGCATGTGATGTGGATCAAATGAGATCATGGATATGAAAGTTCTGCACACTCAAATGAACATAAAGGACTAAAGAGGATGGTTCAGGTGGGAAGACCTGAAGTAGTTACTTGGTTTCAAGGAATGAAGTCCCACTATAGACACATTGACATTTGTCGAAATATCAAAAAGGAAGTCACTGGCGTCCTTATAGACTCAAACCATGGCGGAGGCAGACAGTTCCATCATCTCATTTTACAAACAGAAATTGAGACTTGGAAAAGGAAACATGTTTGGCCAAAATATCCAGCCTGGGATTTCTGATGAATTCGGCTGAAAAGCAATCTTACAGTAATATAGTGGAGGGGGAATGGTGGGGAAAGAAAACTTCAAATCATATGAAACCTCACAAATGAAGTCAGGTTAAGGGATATGTAATTGTTGGGTGGCAAACTGAGACATGGAGTAAGTTCCCACCCACTGGACTTGTGTGGTATTCTAGTTTCCAAAGTCTTAGAAGTCATGAAAAGGGCTTATTTGAACACTTTCTAATGAAGGGTAGAAACAACATACCTGTGGCCTCAGCTCTCATCTCCAGGAAGTTTTCCTTGAGAGCTGTGGGCAAAAGAAAGAGAGTTCCTTGACGTTAGGACTGAAAGGGCTAATGGTAAAAAAGCCACTTTGTTAGGGGGAAATTATTCTGCTCAGATGTTTCACTGCATTTAGTTCCATTCTTCTAGGTTGGGAAGGTTTAGAGAACCCACTATTCTAGACACAAAGCCACCTTTCAGGAGCTAAAACAATCTTTGGAGTAGTAGACGATGGGAAACCAGACACAGCAGAGAAGCTGACCCAAGACCACAGTTCACATCCCATGATTATCACTGCTGGTTAGAACAAGAAGGCAGGGGACAGTACCATGTAAAACATAAGTCCTCCTTGGGCTTACAAAAACCACACCAGCTCTGGTCAGCCTGCTGATCAGCCCTAAATTCACCTTCCATACTCAGCTGAGAACTGGGAGGAAGAGACAACCATAGAAAATAAATCTCCCTACAATATGGCCAGAGCATCCCACATAACAGCTGGTTCCCATAGCTATATCTACAGCCTTCTACTTTTCTCTCGTCCCTGCCTCTCCCCTCCCCACTTCAATCCTCCCCCAAGGTCCCCATGCTCCCAATTTCCTCAGGAGATCTTGTCTTTTTCTACTTTCTACTTACCATGTAGATTATATCTATGGAAGTCTCTCTTAGTGTCTGTATTGTTGTCTAAGTTCTCTGGGATTGTGGTTTGTAGGCTGGCTTTCTTTGCTTTAAACATAAAAATCACCTATGAGTGAGTACATGTGATAATTGTCTTTCTGGGTCTGGGTTACTTCACTCAAAATAATGTTTTCAAGCTCCATCCATTTTCCTGAAAAATTCAAGCTGTCATTATTTTTTTCTGCTGTGTTGTACTCCATTGTGTAAATGTACCACATTTTCCTCATCTATTCTTCAGTCAAGGGGCATTTAGACTGTTTCTAGGTTTTGGCTATGACAAACAAAGCTGCTATGAACATAGCTGAGCACATGTCCTTGTCGCATGATTGAGCAATGTTTGGATATATACCCAAAAGTGGTATTATTGGGTCTTGAGGAAGGTTGTTTCCTAACTTTCTGAGAAATCGCCACACTAACATCCAAAGGGGTTGTACCAGCTTGCATTCCCACCAGCAATGCAGGAGTGTTCCCTGTACCCCGCAACCTCTCCAGCATAAGTTGTCATCAGTGTTTTTGATCTTGGCCATTCTTACAGGTGTAAGATGGAATCTCAGAGTTGTTTTGATTTGCATTTCTCTGATGACTAGGGATGTTGAACATTTCCTTAAGTGTCTTTCAGTCATTTTAGATTCCTCTGTTGAGAGTTCTCTGTTTTCTCTCGTCTCTTGAAACTACTTATAACTAGTTGCATAAATTATCTTATGCCTATTCATGGTTTTAATTACCACCAAATATTGGGAATCTTCTTCCAAAGTGTCACTACTCATATTACAGTATATATGTGATGCCCCACACTATAATTCTATAAAACATTGGTTGTCCCTAGCATTTCTCTTACTAAATCTGTACAGGCCCCACCCTGACAATTAGTTTAGGTTGCAGTTACTCACTGGGCATCTCTACCTGGATGTCTGGACCTGAGCACAGCAAATGTCTCACAAAACCTGTTTCTTTATGATGAATTGTTGTGCCATCTACCAAACTGCCCAAGTTAGACTTATCTCTCTCAGCACTTCCACAGTGCCTCCCATTGAAAAGTCAGCAGGGTCTGCTTGAACCGAGCGCACATCTGTCCCTGTATTCCATTCCCTCAGCAACACCTTAGGTCAGGCCTTCCATCAACTCCTGCCAGCAAGATTTGTTTCCTAATTGGTCTCCCCGCTTCCCATCTTCACCACCAGACTGATCATTTTACAACTCAGCCAGCTCAGAATGTGCACAACCACTTAAATATCTTCCATGGCCTGCCCCCAGTAGACTACAATACGAAGAGCAAACACCTTAATATGTCATACAAGACCTTTGCAGTCTGGCTCTAATCCATTTTCCTGGTGTTCTGTTGAGCTAAGCTTTCTTCGCCCCCCCCCAACACACACACACACACATTATAGACAAAGTGGAACACTAATCACTTCTGAAGCTGCATTGCCCTATGGAATAGTCTCTTCCCTTTTCTTCCTGACAAACCTCTAATAATATTTCTTTTGAGTTTTTTTTTCTTTTTAGCTGTTGAAGAGGGCAAGAGAATGAGGAACAGATGCTATCAAAATGGCAGGCTACAGTCAAGTGTGCAAAGGAAAAACTAAACGCGGCAAGGCAAGATGATTGAAGAGGTATGCGACAATGACCATACGAGGGATTAGCCACATGACTGGTAATGTCTTGCTCAGTGGCCAGCCTGTGAATACACTACTGATAGTGGTGGACTTGAGGTGGGAAGAATATTTTTTCCTAAGCAGCTTCTGAGTAAAAAAAAACCTACAGCTAGCCAAGATGGCATATTGAAGGCAGGTATGTTTTAGTCTTACTTACATTCCTTCCAAGGTGATTCTTAGGACACAGAACAGGATTAAGGCTAGGTTTGAGAAGCCCAGATAAAGAGTGGATAGAATAGCATAGGCTGAAGTACCTGCTTTGGCCAAGGCCTTCCGGCATTGTGGTTGGTCTAATTCTGCCCTGAGCACTGGCTAACAAATCCTAGCCCCTTGGTAATGTCTTTTCATGCCCTCAACATCAGTTTGGCAATAGTTTTCCTACTGAAAGGTAGCCTTCACTAGGAATTCTACTAGACTTTGTTCATACCTCTTAAATATTCCCTTCTTAATGTCTTGACAGCCTGTCCTAAGATACAGATCAATCCCCAAATTTTGCTGCGCATTTATATTTGATCAAGCCCCAGCTCATGTATTAACTCTTCCAAAAGCTTTCTCTTTAACATGCCTGATCCTTTTTTGTTCATTCCAGTTTATTTCCTTCAATTTCTCTGGTGTTTATTTCTCAAAGGATTTCTTTATCCGAGGGAGGGAGAAAGGATGCCCGGAAGTAGTGTCACTCACAGGAAGCAACTCTATTAAGAATCTCTCTTTCCCCCTCTGCCCTGTCCCACTCCATGGAACTCAAGGCTTCAAGCATGATTTGCAAATACTTTAGCACTGAGCTATAATCCCCAGTTCCAAATCAAAAACCTCTTCATCTTCCATCCTCTGGTAAAAGAAATCAGGGATATAACCTCACTTTCATCTGATCTGGTAAAAATAAATGATAAATTATTGTCTACAGAATTTGGCAGATCCCAGAGCTGCCTGTGGTGATTTGCCATGTGGAATCACATCCTGGTGAACTAGATTCATGGAACAAACTCACAGCAAACACCCTGAAGACTAAGCAACCATTCCTCCGGATGCTTTTGTGCAAATGCTCCCAAATGCCCAGGGCTTGAACAGTTTGTACCAGTATTTGGAAAAAATTTAAAAACAAATAGAAGGAAGGATGAACAGAAGGAAAAGAAGGAGAGAGGAAATAGGGGATGGGGATGAGAAAAGGAGGAAATAATGGATTCTCATGTCCCAGTCAAAAGATCAATTTTAGTGAGTGTAGAGTAGAAGCCAGGAATCTGGGATTATTTTTTTTTAACAAATTTTCAAGAGGTTTAGATGGATGGTCAGTTTGATAATCATTTAGTCAACTATTTACTTTTGAAATGGGAGCCACACTTACTCTGAACCCATAGACAATAGAATGCCATATTTTATAAGCCTTTGTCAGCTGACCTTATACACTATGATGTCTAAGTAAGTAAAATAATAGCAACAAAAAGATCTTCATTGATGTAAGGTTTCTTTTTTTTCAACATAGCTTGGGATGTGTGCTGGCTAGTTCTATGTCAATTTGACACAAAATATAGTTATCTGAGAGGAGAGAGCCTCAAATGAGAAAATGCCTACATAAGATCAGGCTTTTGGCAAGTTTGTGGAACATTTTTCTTATTAGTGATTGATTGGGAGGTGCCAGCCATTGTGGGTAGTCCTGGGTTCTATAAGAAAGCAGGCTGAGCAAGTCACATGGAGCAAGACAGTAAGCAGCACCCCTTCATGGCCTCTGTATCAGTTCCTGTCTCCAGGCTCCTGCCCTGCTTGAGTTCCTGTCCTGACTTCCTTCAGTGATAGAGTATGATGTGGAAGTGTAAACTCTTCCTTCCCCAAGTCCTTCCTTGCTTTAGTCGTGGTGTTTCATCACAGCCACAGTAACCCTAACTAGGCCAAGACATGTGTACATACAACAGCGTACATGCACATGTATGTCTGTGAAGGAGAACGAGAAACAGAAGAAAGAAATAGAAAAAAATGAGTAAGAAAAGGGACAACAGAGACACAGGTTAAGAAAAGCAAGAAGGATGGCATAAAGAGAACACAGAGAGGGAAGCCCAAAAAGTGACAGAAAAGCTGAGAATGGCAGAGACACATGTAAGAACAAGCAAGAGAAAAAGACATGACACAGATAAGAAATAGAAGCCAATCTGCAATGATTGCAGGAGAAAGGTGGGAGAGGAAAGGGAGGGAGGGAGAGAGATGAGGGGGAGAGAACAAGAACTATAGAGAAACAGAAAAGGAGGAGGAAAGAGCAAAACCTGATGAGCTGCATTTGATGCACCCATTCAATACTGCCATTTGCCCTCTCTTCCATCCCCTGTGTCTCCTACCTTCCAGTTTTCCGGGATGCTGTTTCAAAGAATCTGGTCCTGGATGCCACCCTGCAAATAGAAGCCAAGCAAGTCTGATGAGCTGCAGTGGAATACATGTGAGAACCAAAGACCAACGGAAAGGGCATGACACTCCGTACCAGATAGGTCACCAATACCAGGCCCTACCCTGGCTCGCAAAAAGTCCAGAATTAGGGCAAAACTCGAATATCAGAATGAGAAATGATTCTGAAGCCCCAAGGCTTCAAGGCAACAAAATGAGGTCCTTTACTACATATTGATCCAGAATGGCAAAGTCTGTGACCCACTCAGACCTGTCTTTGGAAAATTAATGAAAACAATCTTTGGTTTCAAAGTGTGGTTGAGGGCGCTTTGTGAATACACATTGCTAATTAGTGGAAGTTGTGGAGGTTTTGATCTTTCCCTAAGTTTTACAATTACGGAAAATAAAAGACACAAGAAAAAGAAGGGTCTGGAGGTTAGGTGCTAATGGTCCAGGAGGAGGGTCTGAGGAGGGCATGAGGAGAGGCCAGTCAGGCTAGCTGTGGCAAGCACAGCTGGTTTCTTGGCTCTACTTTATCCCAGGCTCCCCAACCAGAGGGCCTACTGAGTATCAGCTCAGCTCTTGTCCTGTGAGAGGATCTTTAGAGGATCTGAGTCATTTTGGAAATTTTTTTTTTAAATGTACGCTTTCTTGCAAGAAAGAAAGAAAGAAAAAAGCCCCAAGCACAAGTACAATGACAAAAAAATACAGGCTCATTAAATTACTTGAAAAAACAGTAGCAATAACACAAAATAAGGAGAAGATTTTTAGAGCAAAAAACTGAAAGTAATTTTTCTTCCTCCACAGGCATCAGGGCAGCTAAGAACAAATGGTTCTTTATATAAGACTTTGAAAAAGTCTTCACATGTAGTAAAATAGCCCAACTTTGGACACTGAATGGACTATTCCACACAGGGATGACACTGGATAGTCCCCTGGATTATGAAGAGAATGATGTTCCAGAATTATGATGGGGACCCTGAAGGCACTTCTAGTGGTCGGCACAGGCCTTAGGTCAAGTTGAGGGAAAAAATTACTTACACAGATGATGGGATTTCCCCTGCATTGCCAGCCACAGTATCTGGCTTTGGTTCCGGCTTCTGTGAAACACTGACCCGGCAAGGAGGGTCTGGGGGTCTCACTGGAGGACGGATGATTGTTTGCTTTTCTCCTAGGGGCCGAACTTTACTGAAACAGTCAGTATCTCCTAAAAGAGAAAGCAATAGCAAGGACATAAATAGTCGCCCAAATAGAACACTAAATGTCAGTAGATGACCTAGGGTTGGCTGGACCATCTTCTCTGGTTCCCATTTCTTCTTAGCTAACAACAACTCTATTTTTGTTTTAAAATCCTTCTGGCTGCTGCCCTTTAGAAAACTTATGTTCCAACCAATTTCATGTACCTTACATTTGTAATGAATTTCCTAATTCTACATTTCCTTGGCTTTACAATTCAGAGTAGCAACACATTCGTTTACAGAAATCAAAGTTATTAAGTTAGGAACTAGTGCCAGCCACATCGTAGGTGATTAATGCCATATAGTAGGTGATTGATGAGGAACTTAAATTTGATAAATTCATCCACTACCAAAATTCAGATCCTGAGACTTGAGAAATGACTCAGCAGTTGAACATATTTACTGTTCTTGCAAAGGACCCAAACTGCGTCCCTAGCACCTATGTCAGGAGGCTTACAAAACCTATATCTCCAGACCCAGCATTCTCTGCGGGACTCTGTGGGCAACTGCATCATGTACACATCTACATACATATGTACATATAATGGAAACTAAAATAAACCTCGAAAAATTCCAGGTCCTTTTCAATACTAAAGTACTCTTCTACCTCACCTTCCTACCTCCACATTTCTGGCTTACAGTTTAATTGGAAGAAATAAACAAATAGTTTTTATGAAATGGTACTGGCAGGATTATGGTAAAAACAGGTACTCACATACTGCTGGTGGCACAATAAACTGGACTTATTCTATCTAGATACCTATCAGGTATTTTGGAACAATCTAGATGTAACACAAAATTATGCATAGGCAATAATTCATACTTGTTTATCTAGTAATTCCACTTTGGAAAAAAAACTTACAAGAATTCATCCAAGATAAAAAATAAGAAAAAACAATTGGCACAAAACATTCTGATAGCAAAATATCAGACGCAACTACAAAAGCTAACCAAACAATTTACTCTTACAAGCAACTAGCTAACACATATTTCATATAAACTGACAAGAACTTGGACAAGGTCAAGAGAAAAATGTGTATTGAAATAAAGTAAAAATGAATTCATAAAGCTTGGCATGGTCACTCAAGTCCCAGTGCTGAGGACTCTAAAAAAACAGGATTGACATTAGTTCGAGGCCACCTTAGCCTACATAGTGAGTTCCAGGCAAGCCTAAGCTACAGAGGGAGACTCTGTCTCAACAAGAATGAAGGAAACAAAACCCCATCAAAAAGTACTTGTGTCTCAATGAAGATAATATTAATATAGTCATCTGTGTAATAATGCAAGTGCATTAGATCTTGATATTTGCTCAATCTTAGATCTTAATTTTCATTCTTTCAGCAAGATGTTTAAAGTAAAATTAAATTCCATCTACATAATACTGCTTGCTATAGGATTTACTAAAGTTTACACAGTTTTATTTTTCTTCAAGTCATTCTTGGTAACTATAAAATGCACAGGATAAAGTTCAAACTCCTCAACATAATTCAAGGCCTCTTTAAACTAGCTCCAAATCATTGTTACAGGAATAACCATTGGACATTACTTACCAAGTCTACTCTATCAAACTGGTCTCTTCACTATCCCATCAAAACAAGTCTTAATTTTAGGTTATATAGTTTGCTGATGTGAAATTTTCCTCTGTATGCTGTGAATACCACTGGTTAATAAAGGACTGCTTTGAACCTATAGCAGGGCAGAACTTAGATACACAGGGAAAACTAAACTAAATGCTGGGAGAAAGGAGGCAGAGTCAGAGAGGCGCCATGTAGCCCCACCGGAAACAGATGCCAGAACTTTAGCATGTAAGCCACAGCCACATGGCCATACACAGATTAATAAAAATGGGTTACATTAATATGTAAGAGTTAACCAATAAGAAGCTAGAGCTAATGGGCCAAGCAGTGATTCAAATAATATAGTTTCTGTGTGGTTATTTTGGGTCTGAGCCACAGTATGCCACAGGAGAAAATACAGAGGTTCTAGAATTGTGAAGACCTGGATGTGTGGCTTTATTCTGCCATTTCTGCTGTGGGATAATGCTCTTGTACACTGTAAATATTTGTCATTCATATTGGTTTAATAAAACACTGATTGTCCAGTAGCCAGGCAGGAAGTATAGGCAGAGCAACCAGACTAAGAGAATTCTGGGAGGAGGAAAGGCAGAGCGTCAGTCACTGGCTAGACACAGAGGAATCAAGATAAGAATTTCTTGCTGAAAGCACATGGCTAACCACAGATAAGTATTACAGGTTAATTTAAGTTGTAAGAGCTAGACAGTAATAAGCCTGAACAGTAGACCAAACAGTTTATGATTAATATAAGCCTTTGTGTGTTTATTTGAGACTGAATGGCTGCGGGACTGGGTGGGACAGAAACTTACATGTAACATGAGAGGGCCGGCTTGTTGGGGTATCTGTCCCGCCCAGTACCCCACAGCAGGCAGGCCCCAAAGAAAATCACACACAAGACTCCATAAGGTTATAAACTGATTGGCCCATTAGGTCAGGCTACTTATTAATTCTTATGACTTATCTTAACCCATTATTCTTATCTATGTTAGCCACACGGGCTCAGTACCTTTCTCAATGTGACAGCTTACATGTTGCCTCTTCGGTGGTCTGCCCAGGAGTGCCGGAGGGACCTTCCTCCTCCATAACCTTATTCTATTCTCTTTGCCCCGCCTCTACTTCCTGTCTGGTTGACCTGCCTATACTGCCTGCCTGGCCAATCAGCGTTTTATTAAAATATGATTGACAGAATACAGATAATTCTCCCGTACCATTTCCCTCTCTTTTTTTTTTTAAACAAAGGAAAATACCCATAATCCATTTGTTGGGAATGTGGGCGTAGTATTTCAGGCTACTTCCTGCTGGTTGGGGGCGCTGATAGTCTTAAGGGGACCTAAAGAAAATTTAGAGTTATAATCAAGTCATGACTGGAGTATCCTGTGAGTCTCGATCATCTCAGGCAGTAGTCTTGAATCTGTTCTGGATGTAGAACTCAGACATCTGGGCCATCTGTTCCTATCGGAGATTTTTCAGGTGGCCTCCCTTGGTCAAAGGTGATTATTCTTAACTCTGAATAAATCCAGAGTCTCTCGTTTTCTGTGGAAACAAAAGCAAAATCTCTTCTCCAAAGTAACATACCTTTTGACTTCAGTTTTGAAGCCAAGGTATTTTCAAAATTCCTATCTTGGGTTAGTTCAGCAGCATTTATAAACAAAAGTCTTTTAGCAGTTGTTGCTCCTTCCTCAGCAATCAAACAATTTAAAGAGAGCATAATAGCATACAGTATGAAGATTCTCTGTGCATTTTCCATCTTTATGTGGCTTTATTTTAACCTCTATTTCTTTTATTTTTACTTTTACTTTTTGAGACAGGATCTTTGTATATCTTTGTCCTGGAATAACACTGTAGACCAGGCTGTCTTTGAACTCACAGAGATCCTCCTGTCTCTGCCTCCCCAGTGCTGGGATTAAAGGTGTATGCTACCACACCTTGAACTCACAGAGATCTGTCTCTGCCTCCCAGGCATTGGGATTAAAGGCGTGTACTACCACACCTTGAGGTCACAGAGGTCAATCTACCTCTACCCCTTGAAGTCACAGAGGTCAATATGCCTCTGCCTCCCAGGCATTGGGATTAAAGGTGTGTACCACCACACCCAACTACTCTCTTTCTTTCCTTTTAACTTTAAGAACTTTAACTTTTAGCCTGCATATACACACTGTAAACCATTTAGAGGTTTTCTTCCTCTTTGAATCTCTCTTTACTGTATATTTTTCTTTTTCTGACCATATGAGTCTTTAATTTACTAAGTAATATGGAGAGCTGTGGCTTTGACGGCTAGATCCAGCTCATTCCTTAGCTTTTCAGCCTCAAGGCTGAGGTACCAGCCAGAGCTGTGTTCACTGCCACAACTCTATGGCGTTTCAAGGTCCTTGCCAGCAAGCAAGCTGCAGCATTCTGCTCACAGACCACACTCAGTCGGACTGCCTGCCTGAAAGAGTCAGAGTTTGCTCTGGCAGGACAGCCCAGATAGCCGGCATTTTAAAACAGCACAGCTTTTCTCCTGCTACAGCTGAAAACTGAAAAGAATGCGTTCAGCTTGTCATCAACAACATTTAAGTGTTTTGTGGCAGGACCTCTTTAAAGAGCTGCAAGGTTTTGCAGCTAAAGCTGAGTCAGGAAGCCTCTCTCAGATGAGAGCGCTTGCTTGCCTCTAGCAAGCAAAGTAGACCTGAGAAATTGCTGCCACCAAGAAGCCATGCTTTACTCTATTCTTTTCCAAGCTTTCTCAGGCTTTCTGTGGATTCAGTTATCCACGTCTGGGCGCCATATGTAACATGAGAGGGCCGGCTTGTTGGGGTATCTGTCCCGCCCAGTACCCCACAGCAGGCAGGCCCCAAAGAAAATCACACACAAGACTCCATAAGGTTATAAACTGATTGGCCCATTAGGTCAGGCTACTTATTAATTCTTATGACTTATCTTAACCCATTATTCTTATCTATGTTAGCCACACGGGCTCAGTACCTTTCTCAATGTGACAGCTTACATGTTGCCTCTTCGGTGGTCTGCCCAGGAGTGCCGGAGGGACCTTCCTCCTCCATAACCTTATTCTATTCTCTTTGCCCCGCCTCTACTTCCTGTCTGGTTGACCTGCCTATACTGCCTGCCTGGCCAATCAGCGTTTTATTAAAATATGATTGACAGAATACAGATAATTCTCCCGTACCACTTACATTTATATACTTCTAAGCAGTGAGAACTTGGACAGTGATTTAATGACTCTGACTATAATTTTCTCACTTGGGAAATTGGTATATAACAATTTCATTTCATAAGGCAATTATAAGAAGTTAGATGATATACTAGCCAAAACAAGCATGAATAAGCATGATTTTTACTTCTTTCCTTCTATGGATTCCTAAGCTCGCTCACATCATAAGCACTAAATCCATTCC